TGAGTCACTTCCGTCACAGTAATATCTGCACATGTACGTGAGTGAGTCACTTCCGTCACAGTAATATCTGCACATGTACGTGAGTGAGTCACTTCCGTCACAGTAATATCTGCACATGTACGTGAGTGAGTCACTTCCGTCACAGTAATATCTGCACATGTACGTGAGTGAGTCACTTCCGTCACAGTAATATCTGCACATGTACGTGAGTGAGTCACTTCCGTCACAGTAATATCTGCACATGTACGTGAGTGAGTCACTTCCGTCACAGTAATATCTGCACATGTACGTGAGTGAGTCACTTCCGTCACAGTAATATCTGCACATGTACGTGAGTGAGTCACTTCCGTCACAGTAATATCTGCACATGTACGTGAGTGAGTCACTTCCGTCACAGTAATATCTGCACATGTACGTGAGTGAGTCACTTCCGTCACAGTAATATCTGCACATGTACGTGAGTGAGTCACTTCCGTCACAGTAATATCTGCACATGTACGTGAGTGAGTCACTTCCGTCACAGTAATATCCGCACATGTACAAAAATAAACCCATACCTCAAAAAAAAAAAAAAAGTTGGAACGTGGAAAATAGAGGAAATCATTTTGTTGCGATTAAGGACATCTGGGTTTTCATAGCTTTTCAAAGATACAGTGACAGGGCGGGGGATAAAGGGTGGGCACAGATTTATGAGGATAAACAATGTGTTTATACTAAACAATGTTTGTGATTATTATTAAAACGCATATAACGTGTGAAAGAAAGAGAGTGGATACATTTTTATGGAGATGAAAAAGCCAAGCATTTTACTCACATGACAATTTCATTTTAAAAGTAGAGCCATATTTTGTTTCCTCCTCTTTAGTTCAGGGGCGTGAACAAATATGGGTTAAGATTTTCTTTCAAAATATGCAAATATTTTTTTCCCCTCCATTTTGCGACCATAAAGTTCATGGAAAGGTGGGTGTACATTTTTATGAATTTAATACTATTTATATAAACATAACTCGAGGATGAAAATTAATTAAGATATTCTTAAGATGTTCTCTGTTTTACAATTTTCCGATAATGAAGTAGATAAGCTTTGCTTAATCTTTTGATAACGATACCACTATATCAAATTCCGTCAATGTTACTGATATTAAAAGTGGTATTTAAATTTGTTGCTGTAAACTCAAGGACATGGGTTCTTGTAAATTCAGGGTCCTAAAAATTGGTAGGGTAGGCATAGCTTATATTACAGATCAATATTTCTCAAAACAAAATAATGTTAGAACCATAAACATTAATACATAGGACAAGAGTTTAAAACAATGAAAACTGTTTCCTAAATAAACATTTCAAGGGCCTGGAATGGTGTCACGATTATTTTTCAGTTATATGCTTAAACATTTGATTGTTAGAAATTATGACTCCTCAATATCAGTTATAGAGTATCGCAAAACGTCTTCCATTATTGTCCCAGTAACATAGGGTCAGATCTTGCCAGTTATTAATAGTTGATCAATTTTTTTCTTCCGGAAAAAATATTGCATTAACACACAAAAAAACAAACATTTTATTTACCCCTACCCCCTCCTGTTTTTCTTTCTCTTCCCTCGACCACCCCCCCCCCCTTGAAACTCTCCAAACCCACAGGACAAAGATAAAGAAAAAAGTGATCCATTGTGATAAAATGTGAGTATCCTATTGTCAACTATTGTGACGTATTATGTACTCTCGTGGCTACTGGTATGCCTGAGTTTTTGCTAACAGTAATTGATTAGCATGAATTCTATGTAAATATTAAATTACTTAATAGTAATTGCTCAGCTTGAAAATGGTTACTCGAAATCTTGTGACTAGCTGAAATAGATCTTGTTACAATTTTAAATAAGATCGTGTGACACTCTGAAATAGATCTTGTGACACTCTGAAATAGATCGTGTGACACTCTGAAATAGATCTTGGGACATTCTTAAATAGATCTTGTGAGATTCGGAAATAAAACGTGTGACATTCTGAAATAGATCTTGCTACAATCTGAAATAGACCTGGCGACAATCTGAAATAAATTTTGTGACAATCTGAAATAGAATTGGCTACAATATGAAATAGGTCCATGGTCTATTTGGACTTTGTCTGTTGTATGGTTTACATATGGGTGGAATCGTTTGTGGGTGAGTAGCAACATTGTTTAGAGTGTGAGTGAGTAGCAACATTGATAGAGGGTGGTTGAGTAGCAGCATTGTTTAGAGGTTAAATGTGTACCGTTTGAATGCTGCGTCTGTAGAAGTTAATACAAACATTTTTTTTAATACTTAACACCCTTTTGTTTCTCGGAGATTAGAGTAGTATGACCTTTGAACTCAGCGTCATCTGTGTCTTCCAACAGTGTGATCGTCAGTGCGCAACATGTGTCCATAAACAGCCACGGTGCGTCCGTAGAACACCTCCTCGGTGACGACGACTGCTCGAGTGACAGCGACGGGCAGTGACGGTCAGCGATGATGTCGTGACGTCGGCTTTAAAGGTGAGCAGCCATTAAAATAAAAACGATTGACCCCGAGTGTCAAGGGTATGAGAATCGCTATCGTTAAAGTTAATGCTGATTGGTCCGCGAGATGCGTTGTGTCATGATGGGTGGTATCATTGTGGCTAAGTGGTGATTGTACGACAGGGAAAAGAATAATAGACAAGTGTGTGGCTATAAGATGGGACATCGTGAGCTCGGGGCAGAGACAATAAGGGGAGCTAGAGAGTGGCAGCCCGGTCCACGCTTGGGCTTCGATACTCTTTTCTTATGAGTGATATTTGAAGCACGTGGAGCTTTTGGCAGATACCAAGAATAAAGATGAACTATATTATTTCGCGGAGTGTCGTCGCCGCTAGTATTCGATGCGCAAGGTTCTTATTTCATAGGGTTACAGTGTTGAAGTGGACCATGCACAACGATGTCAGAAGATGCCTACAAGATAATATTTTTAGAACGCTATAAAATCCTTGATGGCAAACCCCTAAACCAAATGGGGTTGATTTAAATCATGCTTTAAAACTCAGGTTCATGCTGAAGATTTTGAAGAGGGATTGTAAAATCATTATTATTAACTATGATGATCCATGTGTTGTTTTATTTTAATTTATTATTTAAATTTCTATTTCACATTTTATTTTTTAGTTGGGAAAGCGAACTCAATCATGAGACGCAACTATACACAGACTATTAAATGAAACTCAATAATGAGACGCCACTATGCAGACCAGAAAATGAACTCAATAATGGGTTACCACTATACAGACCAGTAAATGAACTCAATAACGGGATGCCCCTATACCGACAAGAAAATGAACTCAGTAATAGGATCCCACTATACCAACCAGAAATTGAATTCAATAACGGGATGCCACTAGACAGACCAGAAATTAAACTCAATGATGGGTTGTCACTATATAGAAAAGTAAATGAGCTCAATAGAATACCACTATAAAAAAGTAGCTCTAAATCAGATGGCATGGTTTCAATTCCAGCACAATTTCTCTCTCTTCACGGCAGCCCTACAAATAACACACGTAGGGTATAATCAATAAATCTCAAGAAGCACCACTGGTCACTGACGCAAAGAAAGAGTGCAGTGGAGAAAGTGTCTTTAACACAAACCGGACTTCTTGTTTAAGACCTTCTGTTTGCTGCTATTTTTTAAAAACATGTATATATATATATATATTTAAATGTGTAACTTGCTGACTAAGTGATGAGCCATAATGCACCGAGTCTCTCCCGAGAGTTAACGCCATGACGTGCATCATCAGGCCATGCATGGTCATGTGTTTAAACAATGTTGTTTTAGGTCATACATATGATTAGTGTAACATTCATTAGACCCATACCTTGTGATATTTTGCTGTCGTCATGTGCACCGAGTGTCCCTAAATGGGAACAATACTATGACGTGCATAGACGGGGGGGGGGGGGGTTTTAAGGCTGCTGTTTCATGGAGCCCATCAAAATCATCACATGTGAAAAATAAATGTGGAAAGTGATTTTTTTGTAAATATAGTCACAGAATCTCAATAACTTATTGATTCCTTCCAAATCATGAGAGTCTAGTGTCAGACTTTTCTAAAAGCTGGCTTGGCCCATCACCATAGCCGGACATGAAGCTGGCTTGACAGCTTCTTTTGAGAAATTCATCAAAAGATTACTTTATTTGTTTCATGTCAGGTTTTCAAACAGCCGGTGTTCTGGAATCGTAATCACAGCTTCACCATCTTGTACTTGTAACAATGGCTTAAGTTATGTAAATGTATAATTTTTATACGTGCAAGACTTCCAATTATGGTAAATGCATAATATACTATGTTAAATTGTCTTGAAAGTTTAATATAAATATTTCATTTGATGTTTTTTCTTTTTAAATATGTCATGAGCTGTCTTAATTGCAATAACCGAGCAGTCTTACAAGTTATACTAGTTGACAAGATAACCCTTGCTGACAGAATTGTCCTCCACAGACAAACAGCACAGGCCACTGTCAGGACTGTCCCCTCGCTAACTGGCATGCTTTTAACTGGTGATTCAATGTTATTTTTAGTTTATATTCAGCCCATGATCTCTGTTACCAAGATTTTATGTTTACAAGCACAAAAATATCATAATTCAACTTGAACAATCCTCTCAAAAAAATATATAAAAAGTCTTTTATATTTTTTGCGGTTAAAAATTCCATTAAAAAATTTAATGGCCTTATTTTCAGTCCAATTCAAAGAACAAATAAAGAGTTATTTCTCTTCTAATTGTTTATTGTCTTAATTCATGTTAAAAAAATAATAATCTTCCTCTGAGTGGGAACAAACAATACTGAACACTGATGTAAACTGTGATCAAATATTTGTGTTCGCAACTCTAATGGAGAGAACGACGGTAATGTCACCTGACTATATTCTGGGGAAAAAATCATGTCATGTGACCCCCCCACCCCCCCCCCCCCCCCCCCCCCCCCCACCCCCCCCCCCCCCCACTTCGGGAAACATGAATGTTTCATTAAATGACAGTTTACGCTTAACCACCACAGGTCTTTTCATCTGTTCATAATACAAAATATGTTCAGAAAAAAAAATGTATATCTAAAGATGGTAAGTTTTCAAAATATGCTTAACAAGAGTTTTATCCATCAATGAACAAACATCCAGTGATGAACACAAACACATTTAAATGATATCATCAATATACACATAATATCAAACGATACAAAAAATATTTTTTAAGAAATCTGTTACACTTCGGCATTTACTTATTGCTGAAATAATATCAATAGAAGAAATGGAATGGACTAAATGGCATTTCTCCATTAATTGCATGATAATCTATGTTAAAAGAAGCACAAAAATCCTTCAAAGGAGAGCAGAAACTCCATGTCCTAATTTGTGATGAAAAATTTTTTAAAGTGAAATTCAGGTAATCTATGAGCAAAATCAACATTTATGCTAAACTCAAATTGTTGAGTATTTTACAAAGCTCATCTGCGTGAAAGCACATTGTGATGACATAAATATTATTACAAAAAGTTGGTAAACCTTGAACTATCAAACTACAACCGACAGAATAAACTTGGAAAAACTGTACAGTAAAATAAAAACCTGAAATGAGGATGGAAAGAAATCATTACATAACATGCATCAATACACCTCCTAATAAGGACAAAAAGTGTATGATGGGCAAATCCATATGCTTCTGTCAAAAGTTTACTAGAGAAATGGATATAAAAAATTTTAATCTGTAAAATATTTATGGGCTTCCATGTAAATATTTCCAAAAAAAATCACCTATACATAAAATGGTTTTGATGGCAGGTTTAAATTTTTTTTAATTATGGAAAGAATTATCATAAACTGTCTTTAATGAGTTGCCTGAAGTCTCCGATGTAAAACATGACTTCTAGGAACATTGCCTTGATGTAAACCTTGATGATGTAAAACACAGTCAGGAAATCCGTGGTGCTCGTGAACGAGTCGGCCAGCGCAAAAAACAATGTGGATGGGATGAAACCCCTGCCATACTCTACCATCCATGTGCCGGCTGTCCAGGACACAGCGGTCGCCTCACCCATTCCATGGAAGACTGTGTCACCTGAGGTGAATCAAAATAAATGGAATGTAAGTAGAAAGCAGATGGTATAAAGAGAAAGAGAAGGGTTTAAAATGGCTTGTGGGCAATTTTGTTCAAGCATCACAATTAAGTTCTAGATTTCCTACTGTGTTTTCCTCAATTAACTTTAAGGCAATAATCCTGTTCTCTGTGATTAACCAAACCCTTAAACGAGACAATAATATAAATTAGTATAATTTATTTCAAAACTTCTTTTTAAAAAAAATAACCATGACGTCAGAAAACTACTACTGTTTCAGAGTTATGAAAAAACCAAACTAACCAGGCTTATAGACTGTTCGGGTCAGCGACCCTTCCTGCCACTGGTAGAACGTTCCAGTGAGTATTGTATCAGATATGTTAGCCCAGTAGCGACCTAAGTTGGAAAATAAATGTACAGTACGTATTTAAATAGTTTGAACAAGTTTAGATTAATTTGTGCCCAAATAGAAAAAAACAAGAGTTACATAAATATGCTTTAAAGCAGATGTATTTCTATTGGCATATTTTGATTCACAGTGGTTTTCAGTTACACTTTATTCTTGTCTTAAGGTAATGAATAACTTTAACTTTAAAAGCACACAAAATCCTAAACCAAAAATTTAAAAACAGTTAACCAAAAATTTAAAAAGAGTTCACCAAAAATTTAAAAAGAGTTCACCAAAAATTTAAAAAGAGTTCACCAAAAATTTAAAAAGAGTTCACCAAAAATTTAAAAAGAGTTCACCAAAAATTTAAAAACAGTTTTCTTTTGGTCAGAAAAGATTTATTGTATTCATTCAGCCTCAAAAATTATGTCAACAAAGGCTTTTCACAGCTTCACATGACATTATCTGATATTCATTTTGATAACTAGAAAAGAATTTATAAAAAAAAAACATTTTTTAGGGCTCACTATCATTCAGCCCCCCCCCCCCCCCCCTTTTGTTGTTGAGATTATTTAGCCAGGGGTTGTCATCCTTTTTTTGAATTGGTTTATCCAGTGAAATAGCCTTATGAACACCATAGATCCATGAATTTATAGGCGTAGGTTGGAGTTAAAGGGTTAGTCTCATTATTCCTAATAATGGACCCACCCACTTTAGCAAACTTGTCACTTAAGTATTGAACCTTAGTTCAATGCTTGAGACAGTTCATTTGTCCCCAGTCATTGTCCCCTAATTTGAAGATTTTCAACTCTACCTGAATGTCCAGTGGTATCGACTGCAGTTCCAAAGAAGAGAACGTATTCAGTTAAGGATGCATGCAGCAGACACATGCTTCCCATCCAGCCACCAGCATTCATGAAAATCCATTGTAAGTCCTGGTCTGGAAGTATGTGCCCTGTGTATTTGGCTCTCAGTCCTTCAAGGACTTTGGCATACGCAGTAGAGATGTTACTATCTGGGCCAACTAATCCCAAGTTAAAAAAATATACATTTGTTATAGTTAATATGGCTTTGATCACAGGTTTCAATAATATATTTTCTATTCAGTTTAAGATTTTTATATAAATGTAACTGTAGTTTGAAAAAAAGAAATAATAATTATCTCATTTTTATTTTCCATTGCTGCTGGCAGATGAACATTGATGAATTACACTGCTAAACAGTATCCTCATGCTGTGATTTTAAAGTGTGTGTTGTGACACAGATATATCATGAAGGGTTCAACATTTTTATTATAAGATTTGTATAAATAGCATATAGGTAATAGCAGACATAGGCATCCAGTTGCTCTTTAAGAGAATAGATACAGCAAAGTTTTTAACTAATTTATAATGCCTTCAGCCTGTGGCTCCCCAAATATTTTCTTTGCAGATCTAAATAATAAAAAGGGAAGCGTTATACGCAGTCGGCTGCGTATGACCCGGAGAGTTATACGCAGTCGACTGCGCATAACCATGTGGGTTATTCCCAGCCGACTGCGTATAACTCTCAGGGTTATACGCAGTCGGCTGGGAATTTAGCCAAATAAGGTTTATCACCGCTAGTTTGGCAATAAAAAAAAAAAAGTATGATGCGTAATGAGCTGCATGACGGGTTGTTTTGTACTAGAACTTTGAATGTGTTTAATGTAAAATTGTAATTGAATTAATTTTAATTAATAATGAAATTGAATGATAGAAATAGTATTAGTATTAGTGCTATTATTAGTATTATTGCTTGTATCTTATATATTATAATTATAAGTCAAAGTCTACATTTCTTAGAGTCTAAGTCTAAGTCTAAGATTTTTTAAAATGCATTTCCATGGTCTCAGTCTAGTTATGTATTTTGATTGATTAGGTTTTTATATGTTGCTATGACTATGTCTATGTGGTTGGTTTTACTGACTAATTCAGGAAATACATTCTATTTATTTTTTAAAAAATTATATCATTTATGATTATTTTTTTGATGACCTAAATATAACAGTTTTCAGCTTCCATGCAAAACTATAACTGTGTGAAAGTATTACTTACAGTGCCCCCTCTACAGAACCCCTGCCCCTACGGCGATTTTCTTACTGCTGCTCTCCACCCATGATTATATTTATTACTGTACCAGAGAAACATGACATGATCTTATCTGCCACAAAATTAGTTAACAACACAAAATATATGTTAACAACACAAACATATATTATGATAATTATAAGTATAACATTATTAACATTACTTTGGTCAAGTTAATTAGTACAATGTTTAAACATTTTTTAGCCAAAACAAAAGTAAAATAATAAGCAATAAGCGGAGTTGTTTTTTGGTTCATTCTCGAGAACAAACATAGCAACTAACACGTTGGCTTTCCGTTGGCTGGAATTGAATTCCAGACCATCAACTTGGGGTTTGGTCAGTTTTTACCATTCGACCACCCAGTCACCCCAATAACGAGGTACCCTTATTGATTGATACTGTAACACAGGAAGAATATAGACGTCACGTGACTTGCCGACTGCGTATAACTCTCAGGGTTATACGCAGTCGGCTGCGCATAACCACTTCGTAATAAAAATGGCTCCTCATTCTGTAACCATGGGGGTGGAGGGCTAGGCTTATAAACTGTTATAAAAAATAAAATTTTCTATTTAATCTTTAGGCCTAAACATGTAATAATTTTGACATCACAACTAAAAAATGTAAGTTCCTTAATAAGTAAGTTGCCAAACAAAATGGAGATAGGCTACTCATTATTTTAAAAAATGACTATTCACTATAACTATGTATATTGTATTGTATATCTATAGTTACAATATTTATTTTATAAATATATATAATATAATACATATAATTATAATCAATAATCATTGGCATAGCTAGGTTAGTGCAGCAGCTCAGGGCAGGCCAATATTTTTGCTGACTCCTTCTGCCTTCTGAAAAAAAAAACTATGCAGTTGGCAAGAGTTGGCCAAAAATACAGCTCTTCCACATAATAATAAAGTAATAAGAATAAGAGTATTAAGACTAAGCTAAGACTAAGAGAAAAAGTGCCATCCAAGCGGACCAAGTGATGCGCCCTCTCTTCCTACGCCCCTGTAACTTAACCTGTTTTATTATAATACATGCAATATAATATTAATATATGTCTAAGTTTATGGACACTATCATAAGTGTGAGTATGTATAATAAAATCTGTAGTTATTAGTAAATATTAGCAATTACTTAAATTTCAGTTAGCTCTCTGCTTTACTACTTATTACTTACCAACATATTTTCGAGACAGAGCTGCAATACTTTTTTCATCAAAAACATAAGATTTGTGATTGAGCCAGTAATGAATACCGAAAATAAGAGTAAATATAATTGCGGTCCAGTTGAAAATAGGACGTATAGTAGAAAATGAAAAGAACATTGCTCAACAAAAACTCAGTCACTCAAGGTATGGACCGTGAAATGACTGAAATAAGGTGATTTCTTGTCTGCTACTTTAGAGGCAGGTTCGTTTTCCACATCCTTTAGTCCAGCTTTTTAATTTGAGATGATAGTTTAAACAGTAACAAATAAATAGCTTCTCTAACTACCGCCACCTAGCAATACGAAATTAAATATTATTATATTTCACTTTCAATCCTTTGTCGATATTATTTAAAAATATAAAAATTTTTTAGCATATCATTTTTTAATAACGAAAGAAAATTGCAGTTAGAATAAAACGTATAGTTAATTAAAAGAATCCATACATAATAACTGTGTTTGTTTTAGAAAAAATGTAGGCTAATGCCAAGATCAGACTCAGAGTCTGACGAAAGTAAGAAATTCAATAATTCCATTTGAGTATAGATATATACCTACATACCTTTAAAATAAAAACTTTTAGTTTAAAATAGTAAGCTATGAACAGTATTTAGATTTTAAAGTCACATTACAGTTTTATAAGGCTGACAAAGCTATACATATAATATTATTGTTAGAATTCTCTAATATTTCTTTATCAAACTTTTCTTGAAATTAATATTATCCTCATTAACCTCATTTTTAAGTTAAAGATTAACAAGTTTCTTTGGGTGTAAATTTTAAAAAAAGAACATATAAATACTGCTCAATTTAGATCAGAAATAAATATTTCATTCTTATATCCATAAAATGAAGACAACATTTAAGGCTAAGGATTGAAAAAAAAAAATGATTGAAATTATTGCTTCAATTTTTTTTTTATTGGTAGCAACTGTAACAAATGAGACTAGCTAATTATAACATGAAGATAAGCAAAATGTGTGTTTTTTTAAAATTATTATTATTTTTTTTTTTTTAAAAAGACACAATCTTTTTCCCCGAATTGTGTGCGAAAATGTATTAACTAACATTTTTTTAATGAATTAAAATGGACGCTTTCCCCATCTGAGGCAAATAACACCTAATTTATTTTATTTTTAAGAATGGCCAAAAGGTCTATCTTTTTTAAAATAAAGATTATATATCATAAAAACTGTAACAAAAAAAAAAAAAAATTAAAATTATTTAACAAATTATAAAAAATGTATTAACTAACATTTTTTTAATGAATTAAAATGGACGCTTTCCCCATCTGAGGCAAATAACACCTAATTTATTTTATTTTTAAGAATGGCAAAAAGGTCTATCTTTTTTAAAATAAAGATTATATATCATAAAAACTGTAACAAAAAAAAAAAAAATTAAAATTATTTAACAAATTATAGTGTCAGATTCCTCGGTTGGTTGAAAGGATCAATGAAATGAATCTATAATTGCTTGCAAAAATAATATTCGTTTAAGGCCTCTATTTACTCATCGTTAACCCAAAACATGAACAAAATTAAATACATGGAGTTTTGATTAAAAGGGGAGACAATCATTCGAATTCTTCTTTGAGATCAAAGCTGGACTTACTGTTCTTTCAATGACAGAGGCTTACAATAGTTTGGATTAATTTAACACCAGTCCTTTCTGATAGTTGTTGATGATATATAAAAATTAATGGTATGATTTAAATGAAATACCTCCCGCCCCGAAATCCATTATATATATATATATATTTTTGTATATATATATACATACATATAATATATTAATAAAGATATTTATATATAACTTCATTTGCTAAGCTGTAACTAAAATAAAAATAAAAACATAAATAAAATCCTTTACCAGTGTTATTAGTTCATCGTGCAGTTCTAAACAATATCCCAAAATTTGTTTGAAAGAAATTTGATCGAAAGGTAGTTTGCTCCAATGGAAGTTTGGTCGAGTTTGTTTCTCACTTCACACGATGAAATTTTGCGTCAAATTTCTTTTCGTTTTCAAGTTCACGTGCTCATTTTGTAGAGCTTGACTGGCCCTGTGAAAATGTTGTAACACTTCTTCACAAAAGACAAGCATGAAAGCAAATTCTAATTCTTGCATCTTCTTTGCAATGTTTTCTGCTTCTTTTCTGGTGTCCCCTTTCTGTGACTGGTCTTCTTGTTGGGTCCAAGGTTAAATAATGTGCGATTCAATATTACGTTTGCGAGTTGCTTATGCCATGCAATTACGCTACCGTGACAATATCACATTTATCTTGAGGACTTGGGGTGCCCCCCCCCCCCAAATGCTTGGTGCCCTAGTGGTTAATCCAGCCCTGGTCAAGGGCGGAGTCAAACAGCTTTTCTCTTCTCATACAACTATGGCTTTGCTTCTTTTTTTTTTTTTCGTGTTCTTTAAATGTTGCTATCTATTTCCCACCCCCACCCCAGCTTTCTGTTAGAATAACTTAGCATGTACGATTCAAATTGCCGGTACGTGCTCTATGACGTCAGAGTTTAAATTCACGTACACACCTGCTGGCGTGTAGCTTGCGTGTCACTATCGCGTAGCTGGCTTGTATCTGGCGTGTAGCTTGCGTGCAGCAGGCGTCTAATTTGCGTATAGCTGGCGTGTAGCAGGTGTGTAGCAGCTACGCGTTGAAATAATTGTTCTTGCCATAAATTGAATGCCATTTTCTTCCCTTAGAGGGTTGGGTTCGTATTATACAAATTAAACAGGTTACAGGCAAAGTGTAAAATCCAGGCACTCTATAGAGTTTAAAAAAAAAAATCTTTGGAGTAAAAAAAAATATTAAAAATCCAATGTAATTCAAAGTGCCGACAGTGTCATGTCCCTTCAATACCTTCTAACGTCTTGCAACCATTAGTTACTACTAACATTAAAGATCACGTGAGATTAGACAACGACTTTTTTTTAACAGCTATTTTCATCACTGTTGATATTTGCGTCGTCAATCTGTTTCTTTAGCGTCATCCACCTGTTTCATCAGCTTTGTCCGTCTGTTGGAATCTTATCTTTTTGGCAGCGACTCTTAGTCAAACTGTCCATATTCTAGAAAGTGGAATTTCGGGAAACACTGCCATGGCGGATCTGAGTTTCAAGGATTCCAAAAAATCTATATTGTCAAAATATGTAAACTATATTGAAAATAGTTTATCCGCTGTAAGCATTATTATTGAACTACATAATATTTAATTTGATTATTACTCTAGTTGCTTTCCTAGATATAAAAAAGGGATTTGCACTCTTTCAAATTTGTTATAGCAGCGATGTTACAAGGAAAAATGTGTTGCCCAAAGAGCTTTGTCTGTGACACTTGGAGAAGTAACAAGGGAAAGACAGTGACATTGTTACAAGAAGAAATGTGTTGCCCAAAGAGCTTTGTCTGTGACACTTGGAGAAGTAACAAGGGAAAGACAGTGACATTGTTACAAGGAGAAATGTGTTGCCCAAAGAGCTTTGTCTGTGACACTTGGAGAAGTAACAAGGGAAAGACAGTGACATTGCAGTTCCATTAGTTTAGTTTTGTGATGGCGTTTCGGGAACATTGGACTAGATGGGGGACACGAGATTATTTGGAAGCCAACAGCGGTCAGTGTTCTAACTCATTACTTCAGAAGGAGAGGAGGGAGTGTAAAGGGGTCTGGGCTCATTTTGGTCGAAGACCAGCATATGAAAGTCTACGGTGGTCAGTCATTATTGGGACCACCTAAAGATGTAGTCAGTCGATATTCGTAACACCTACCTAACGATGGTCAGTCAATATTTGGAGCACCTACGTAGCGATGGTCAATCAATATATGGACCGCCTAAGGAGCGGTTGTCAGTCATTCATCTGACGACCTACACGCTAAAACATTATTTCCGACTACTCACACATTTATTATTCATAAGCTATGGATAAAACTGTCGTGCAGGTGACGATCTCACTTCTATGGGAGTACCTGCCACTAACGTGATAAGAGCAGGGGCGGAGACAAAAACAGTTACAAAGGTGCATCTATAGTCTGGCAACAATGCAAACACGTGTTCAACTTTAAGGTCCCAACAATAAGTGACTCTTATTTGTAGAGATTTTTTTCTGTTTTGTTATAGTGCACCTAACTTTCCCCATCAGACAAGCCCCTGGTATTTTTGTAGATCCACTAATGGGGGGCCATGATATTGGAATGATAACTGTTTAAACCATCTCTCCTCCCCAGCCTCGCACGTATGAAGGGACGAAGCTTTGGTCTACAAGAGCTTCCCGGATCCGCTACAAAAAACCCACAAAATTTGACAAGGGACGCCACCGGAAAATACCCATTGAGAAGCGCTTTCTTCACATTTGAAGAAGTAATGTGTGTCTTTTGTAAAGAAGCCATTGCAAAGCAAACAAATTTTCTCTAATTCTTTACTCAAGAATGGGGTGAACTGATGCTTACAGGATAAACTGATGTTTACACGGTGAACTGGTGTTTACAGGGTGAACTGGTGTTTGTGGGCGAAAAGATGCTTGCAGGGAGAACTGATGCCGTGAGGGCGAAAAGATTCTAACAACGTGATCTAACTCACTGGTTCTCAATTGTCTCTCTAACTCCTTTTCAAAAAGTTGAGTTCACAAGGTGTCCTCATATGTCTATCTCCTATGAGAGGTGAGTTCCCGTGGTGTTCTCAGATGTATATCTCCTCAGAGGGACGAGTTCCAATGGTGATCTCATTTTTCTCTCTCTCTCTCTCTCTCTCTCTCTCTCTCTCTCTCTCTCTCTCTCTCTCTCTCTCTCTCTCTCTCTCTCTCTCTCTCTCTCTCCCCTTATATTTGTGTTTTTTATGTCTATCTCCTATGAGAGGTGAGTTCCCGTGGTGTTCTCACATGTATATCTCCTCAGAGGGACGAGTGCCACTGGTGATCTCATTTTTCTCTCTCTCTCTCTCTCTCTCTCTCTCTCTCTCTCTCTCTCTCTCTCTCTCTCTCTCTCTCTCTATCTCTCTCTCTCTCTCTCCCCTTAGAGATGTGAGTTTTCATGCTGTTCTCATTGATCTCTCACTGCTCCTCAGCGATATGTGTTTCTTTGTTGTTCTCACTTTGCTCTTTCTCACTGCTCCCCAGAGAGATACAGACGTACTATCCATGGGAGTCCCGGAGACATTTAACTTCAGTTACAATCCCCCACTTCCGGTTCTCTGTTTGCCTCTGACGGATGTGAATGCCCTGGA